CAATAAGAATTAGTGAAATTGAAGAAATAATAATAATAATAACAACAACAACTCCCAAAACACAAACCCCCTTGACTGATGGCTTCACAGTTGAATTTTTACCAAATTAGGGAAGGGCTGACTCCTATCCTTCTCAAACTATTCTAAAAAACTCAAGATGTGGGAAGACTCCCAACCTCTTTTTATGAGGACAGTATTATTCTAATCCCAAAACCAGGTTAAGACACAACAAAGAAAACTGCAGGTGAATATCTCTGATGAACATAGATGCTAAAGTCCTCAACAAAATATTGGCAAATCGCATCCAGCAATACATAAACCATGATCAATTGATATTCATCCAGTGACATAAGGATGATATAATATTCACGAATCAATAAACATAGTAACAATGAATGTAACATCACATAAACAAAATGAAAGACAAAAATCACGTTGATAAAGTACAACAACCATTTATGATAAAAACTCTGGGCAAACTGGGAACAGAAGGAGCACACCTCAACATAATAAAGGCCATATATGAGAACTTACAGCCAATATCATACTCAAAATGCAAAAACTAAAAACTTTCCCACTAAGATCAGAAACAACACAAGGATGTCTGCTTTCACCACTCTTATTCAACATAGTATTGGAAGTCCTAGCCAGAGTCATCAGACAAGGAAAAGAAATAAAAGGCATACAAACTGAAAGCAGGAAGTAAAACTGTCATTGTAGATGACATGAAAGTGTACATAGAAAACCCTGTAGACTCCACCAAAAAAAAAATACTCGACCTAATAAGTGAATTTGGCAAAGCAGCAGGATACAAGGTCAATATTCAGAAATCTAAGGCATTTTTGTGCACCAACAATTAAATATCAGAAACAAAAACTAGGAAATAAATCCCCGTTAGTACAGCAACAAGAAAAATAAAGTACCTAGGAATAAACTTAACCAAGGAGGTAAAAGACCTGTACTCAGAAAACTACAGAAACTGAAAAAAGAAATAATGAAGATACAACAAATGGAAGCATATACCATGTTCATGGATTGGGAGAAACAACATTATTAAAATGTCCACACTAACCAAAGCAATCTATAGATTCAACACCATCCCTATTAAAATACCAATGATGCATTTCACAGAATTAGAACAAATTTTCAAAATTTTATATGGAACCAAAAACGACCCTAAATAGCCACAGCAATCTTGAGAAAGAACAAAGTAGGAGGAATCACAATGCCTGATATCAAACTATATTATGAGGTCATTGTAATCAAAACAGTCTGGTGCTGGCATAAGAACAGACACATAGGTTAATAGAACAGAAAAGAGATCTCAAGAATAAACCCATGTCTCTATGGTCAATTAACATTTGACAAAGGAGACAGAAGCATAAAATGGAGTAAAAATAGCTTCTTCAACAAAAGTTGCTAGGAGGTCTGCAATGGTACATGCAAAAAAATGAAACTATACCAGCCACTTACACCATATACCAGAATAAACTCAAAATAAATAAAAGACTTAAATATAAGCCACACCATAAGAGTCCTAGAAGAAAATGTACTTAGTAAAATTTAAGGTATCCCACACAGCAACATTTTTGCTGATACATCCTGTAGGGCAAGGGAAATAAAGGAAAAAATAAACAAATGGCACTGTATCAAATTAAAAAGCTTCTGCACAGCTAAAGATAACATTATCAAAGTGAAAAAGGAACCGATCATATGGGAAAACATATTTGTCAACAGTACCTCAGACAAGGGTTTGATCTATAAATATATATAAAGAACTTACAGGACTCGACACTAGACAGACAAATAATCCGATTAATAAATGGGCAAAGGCCCTGAACACACTTCTCCAAAGTCATACAGATGGCTCATAGACAAATGAAAAAATGCTCATCATTAGCCATCAGAGAGATGCAAATTAAACAATGAGATATCATCTCACACCTGTCAGAATGGCTATCATTAATAAATCAACAAACAACAAGTGCTGGCGAGGATATGGAGAAAAGGGAACCCTAGTCCCCTGCTGATCAGAATGCAGACTGGTGTAGCCACTGTGGAGAACAGTATGGAATTTCCTCAAATAACTAAAAATGGAACTGTCTTTTGACCCAGAGATTCCACTACTGGGATTATACCCTAAGAATCCTGAAACAGCAATTCAAAAGAACCTATGCACTCCTATCCTCATAACAGCATTATTTATGATAACCAAGTGCCAGAAACAGCCTATGTATCCATCAGTAAATGAGTGGATCAAAAAATGTGGTACATTTACACAATGGAATACTAACAGCAGGAAAAAAATGAACTCCCACAGTTCGCCACAGTATGGAACTAGACAGTATTATGTTACGTGAAATAAACCGAGTGGTGAAAGATAAATACTGTTATGATCTCACCTCTAATAGGAACCTAATGAACAAAAATAACCTAAGGAGCAAAACAGAACCAGAGGCATGGAAACAAGGAACAAACTAATAGGGATCAGAGAGGTGGGGGGAGCAGGATAAGCGAGGAAAGAAGGGGTAGGGTCTACTTAAAGAACAAGTATAAATGACCCATGGACGTGGACAACAGGGTGGGGAATGACTGTGTAAGCAGGGATTGGGTGGGGCAGGGGAAGAATTTGGACAACTGTAATAGAGCAATAAAAAGAATTTGAAAAATAGTGAAATCAGAGCACTCAAAGTGCCTGATTTCAAGACATACTAAAGCTACAGTAATGAAGACAGTCTGGCATCATAATCAAGACACACAAGTAGATCACTGGAAAACAATAACAAGTCCAATAACAGACCCACACATACAGGGACAATTGAGTTTTGACAGAGATGCAAAGCAGCTCCATGGAGAAAGAAGTCTTTTAAGCAAGTGATGCTGGAACTATTAGTTATCACTGCCAAAAAATGAACTTCAACCAGTAATTTATATCACATACAATAACTCAAAGTGGATCATAAACCAACATGTGAATCCTAAAACTGTAAAACTTTTAAGAATATAGGATAAAATTTTTGTAACCTTGTTTAGGCAATAATTTTTTTTTTAAAGATTTTATTTATTTACTTTTAGAGAGGGAAGGGAGGGAGATAGAGAGAGAAACATCAATGTGCGGTTGCTGGGGGTCATGGCCTGCAACCCAGGCATGTACCCTGACTGGGAATCGAACCTGCGACACTTTGGTTCGCAGCCCGTGCTCAATCCACTGAGCTACGCCAGCCAGGGCTTAGGCAATAATTTCTTAAATGAAATACTAAAACACAACTGGTAAAAAATTATTCTTCATCAAAATTAAAAACTTCTGCTCTTCAAAGTATATTTTAAGAGAATAAAAAGACAATCGACAGATGGGGAAAAATATTTGTAAAACATGTATTTGATAATTGACTTGTAACCAGCATATATAAAGACTCTTTAAAAAATCAACAATAATCCCTGGCTGGTGTGCCTCAGTGGATTGAGTGTTGGTCTGTGAATCAGAGTTGCTGGTTCCATTCCCAGTCAGAGCACATGCCTGGGTTCTGGGCCACATCCCCAGTAGGGGGTGTGGAAGAGGCAACCACACATTGATGTTTCTCTCCCTCTTTCTCCCTCCCTTCCCCTCTCTCTAAAAATAAAATTGTTTTTAAAAATCAAAAGTAAAAATGATCTAATTTTTTAAAAAGGCAAAAGATTTACACATACATCATACAAGATATATGGATGGCAAATGTGCATATGAAAAGATGTCCATCATCATTAGCCATTACAGAAATGCAAATTAGAACAATGAGATATGGCTAAAATGAAAAAGACTGACCACACCAAGTGTTAGCAAGGATGTAGAGTAATTAGAAATTTCATATACTGCTACATGAATGTAAAATGTTACACTTTATATAAACATAAACATATGATCCAGTTATCCCAACATAAAAGCAAAGCATATATCCATAGGAACAGTTTATGTGAATGCTGATAGCAGCTGTTTCCACTAGCCCAAATCTGGAAACAAACCAAATATCTACTAAAAGATAAACAGATAAGAAACTGTGGTTTAGCAATATAGTGGAATATTACTTGGTAATAAAAAGCAATGCTCTGTTGATATTGTCAGGCTGGGCAGGGTAGGACAAGTGGGAATCTAGTTACAATTAGCATTTTGGACTACAAATATGGCCACCATTTGGACTACAAGTAATATGGCAACTGAACTCTGACCCAGAAGAGGTGACTGACATCAGACCAGGAGCCACCAATGCTAAGTTGCTTCTTTGTTCACCAAGAACCAATCCTTGGCTCCCGCGCGGAGTCCAGCTATATACAACTCCCAGCCTTTTCCTTCTCCAGCACGGTCTTTTCTTAGCTCCTTCTCCGGGCGGGGAAGATGTCACCTGGGAGCACAAACTTCCAAAATAAAGCTCATCTGCCTGTTTCCATGGCTAATTGGCTGTTTATTTCCTCGGCGGGGTCTAAGAAAACCTTACAGATATGTGTAACATGGATGGATTTTAAATTAGTGACAGAAAACAGACCCCCCCCCCAAAAGAATACATATACTGATCCCATTTATATAAAATTACAGAAAATTAGAATGATTGATTCTATGTTGTCATAAAGCAGATTAGTGGTTGTTTAAGGCAAAGAGACACAGGGAAGGGTGGGAGAGGGATTACCAAGAAGAAACTTTCCGGGGTGTTAGATGTGTTCACTATCTTGCTTGTGGTGATGATTTCACTTGTGTATACATGTACTGAAACATCAAATTGTATATTTTGAATATGTACAGTTTAATGTATGTCAATTATATCTCAATAAAGCTATTAAATGAAAAGCACGTGGCAGATCTGTATAATATTAAATTGAAAATAGAACTGGAAAGACAAAAAATTGCAGATCACTACAGCCCTATTTTTGCAAAAGAATTTGTGCATATGATTTAAGAAGATATGCAATAAAAGATTAGGCACTGTGCATCAACTGTGGGGAGACACAAAAAACACTGACTGATTCAAAAATATGTTGCAGAAGCATCTTTATTAACATGAAAAGATGTTCACGATACACAGATGGTGGCAGAGGGAAGCAAGTTACAAACAGTATTTACAGTAAGATCTTGTGTTAGTTTCTAAACTATGTAGGAAGTTCAAAGCACATAACCTATTATTTTCACAAACAGACATTCTCTTCAGCTCAGACCAGGGATTATAATTCCTACCATGAGCCTTGGAGAACACATCCAATAATCCAAAAGTCCTGGGGATGTTTTCTGAACCGCAAAGACTTGCAGGAATCACTACTATGTCAGATGAGACAGCAGCTTGTCTCCCGGTTTTCCTGTGTTGATAAAGCTACAACTGGGTCAAAATTTTTCCAACAAAGTTTACCTTGTAGTTTTAGTTGGTACAAAAGCAGAAAATGGACTAGACTAGTAGTAAAAGATGGAGCCTTTTGAAATTTCATGGCATGCACATGAAATAGGAAAAATTATAAATGGTAAAAAGATGACGTTCCAAAGAAGTAGTAATTATTTTTAAATGTAATATGTGAAACAATATACAGAATGATTCCAGTTCTTTGAAAAAAAGTATAATCAGATTGTGAAAAGATACAGATATATAACATATTTCACTTGCTGATGAGTCCAAATTTACATCTTATTCAACAATTTTGGGTACCTACTGTTTTCCAGACACTGCCAATTCATATCCACACACTGAACCCAGACTTTTCTCCTGACCCCAAACACGTATAGCCAAATGCTTAGTGGACATGTGCATTTGGAAGAAATGAAGAATTGCAAGACTGGCAGGGACATTATCTACAGCACACTGAATCATTAAAACCAGACACTGAGTCTCCAAGGCCACTACCTAATAAAATGTTTGGACCGTAAGGTAGTACAGTGAATGGGTTTTATTACCAGACAAAAACAGATATGCCACCTGCCTGCTATGGGAATCTAGGAAAAAGTATTTAACCTCCCTAATTCTCATTAGAGGTGATCCAATATGATGGTGTGTGTGTGTGTATCATTACCTAGCTCACAGGACCACTGTGGGAAGACAGGAATAGAAACCTGTGAAGTATAGTGCCAACACAGTATTTGACATAAGAGCAGGCACTCAGGAAATGTTTCCTCTGTATACCTACCTCCTTTCTCTTCTGTGAGATGACTTGACATAAACTAAATAGCCTAAGAATGAGTTATAAATGTAGTAGCAACATTTGAAAATGAATATTACATTTATCTAGGAGTCAGGGCCATTTCTGTGTTGAAGAATTAAGTTATGCAATGCAGGGATAAGAGAAATAGCAATTCTTACACTGAACAGCTTATAGAAACCCCTACCTTCCTTACATATTGATAGTGTACATTTTGCAATATGTGAGAGTGTGAATATATGTATAATCAGTTAGTTATCTTTTTGTGTATATATGCCTTATTTCTGCAACTAGATTCTAAATTTAAGGCTTTTTTTTTTGCGCCATTTAAAACCACGAATGGATCTAAGCAGATATGAACAAGTTAGCTTACTCAGGATAAACAGGTTCATTAATTTCTTAAGTAAAATACTGAGTAGTGCCCCATCTACACAAGATAAAAATCAACAAGCATTTTTAACTCACGATGTAGTATTTATTTGACCCCCTAAATGGTCTATCTGAAACCTAGAGACTGTCACAGGTAATATTGTTAAAGATGTAATTTATAATGGACACAATGAAATACATGAAGTATTACGCAAGGCTTTGAGAACTGAAAATTAGAGTTTGGAGATTGTTCTGTTTTTTTTTTTCTGGCTCATTCTACATTGTTTCAATAATCACTTTAACATCACGGAAAATGGCCATGAGTGTACTATAACTCAAGTGATTGACAACCACAATTGAGCCCTTTCTGAAATGCTCCTTTATGTTAATAAATATGGCCACGGCACTAACAAGATTGGCTTTTGCTTCTTTCTGGTTAAAGATTAGTTTTAATGCTGCTAATGCCTTTGTATTGATCATGTCTCTGGCTGCAACTGGGTTTTCAGACATATTCAAAAGTACTTTCAAAACAAGATTTCTGGTTTTACAATTTCCCTGGGAAAGCAAATTAAAAAGCTCTGAAAAGTAACTGGCTACAATATGGTGATGGTTAGAATCTGTAGTCAGTTGCCCTAGTATTTTTAAGCCAGACTGCTGTCCAGGTGAGTTCAAGGGAAAAGACATGGTTTCCTTACACATATGTTTAACATGTAATTCAATCTTGCGGTGTCTTTCATTCCCAGAAGGAGGATTCAGTGTAATTACAGCTGTTTTTCTCACTTCAGAGGAAGGAAAACTGAGCAAGCTTTCAATAAGCGTCACTACACCTACCTCATTAATAAACTCTTGGACAAACGGATTAACATTAATAATGCCCATTGCGATTTGAGCTATTTTATGAATGAGAGGATCAGTAGTTGACTTAAGTAAAGTAACAAGTTTTTCAAATTCCTCAGAATTCATGTAGCATTCTATTTTGCAAGGGCAAGCAAATGGCTTAATCCCATTCATCTCCCTGATCCTGATTTGGCGTCTAATCTCCTCTATGGTCTGAACGCAAGGATCAGAACCAAATGGGTACTCCTGGATAGACTGTAAGCATGAAGGTGTGCTCTTAGAAAAACTCACTGTTGCCCCAGGCAAAGGTTGAGAATTTTCCTCAGCTGAGGCCAGGACAATATATGAAGGAGGCCTTATCTCAGATGGAACTTGGGATCTAAATCCTAACACTGCTGGAGTTACAGCAGGGGCTTTGGGCCAGACAGTTACCTCGGACCAGTCCTTGGGCCTATTTTTTTCATTAATTTCTATCACAGGTTGGGGCCTAACTATCCTGCTCACAGGTTTAGGATTAGGGTCAAAACTAGTTTCATCGCCATCCCAAAACCAGTTCCCAATAACAGTCTCTTCTTCCTCTTCAGCCCCTGGCCTAGCCTTACAGGTGGCCCCGGCCACAGGCTCTTTCTCAGTACAGAGTGGAGTAGCAACAGCAACTTTACCTTCATCCTTGGCACTGGAATAATTACCAGTCTCTTCTTCATTCCAAAACCAGGGACCAACACTAGTCTCTTCCCCAGCCCAGAACCAGGCATCACTACCAGCCTCATCTTTACATGTGGACCTGGAGTTGGCACTAGCCCCAGCCACAGAACACTGAGATACTCGAGTGGCCTCATCTTCACCTTTGGGACTGAAATTTGCCAGGACTCCTCCTTTCATCTCAGTAACAATCTTGTTCTTAGATACTGCCTTCATCTCTGCCACTGCATTTGCCTGAAGCCCTGGATTGGCTACTGCTTTAGCCTGGGTCCTGGCTACAGGTCTGACTATGCCAGTAGCCTCCCTCTTTGTTTTAGCTTCCACACCAGTTGTCTTTTCAGTTTTGGCCTTGTTTCTACTCCTAGTCATGGTTAAAATCCAGTTATATCAATAACCCTATTGAGTCAGGGCTTTGGTTGTCAATGTGTCCCAGGTCGTGTCTTGACACACTTTCATTCAGTCAGAGAGAAACTTTTAGCAAGAGTTAAAGTCAATTGCCAGTTTAGTAGTCACACAGTCCCCTTTCCAAACACAAAGCCTCTGTCAATGATACCTGCAGGAGGCAGAGGCACTCAAGACTGAGGAAAGACGATGGTTCCTAAGTGCAGACCTGTTGAAAGTGATAATCTTCTGCCACTACAAGGCTACTACAGCCACCGCTGGAGATAGACCTGAGGTGGAAGAAGGAAATGGACTTTGAGTTTCTTCCAAGTGTGCTTATCTATATAGAGAGCTGCAAAGGATGTGAGAAAGTAGAGATGGACTGTGATAGAAGTGGAATTGTAGATGACTCTTACCTCCCTTTCACATTCCCACTAATGCCCAACAATGTTCTGCCCAGGCACTACCATACTTTTCTCTACATTAAATCGGAGCAGGGATGATGGGAAAGCTTGCTGAAAGTAAGAGAGGATACAGAGGGCCCAGTCCCTTTGGTATATACCACTATACTCTACAGATCTATCCAGGTGGGCCTCACACCGACCTACACTGATTTTCCTCCTTCCTTTTGCTTCCAGTGTTAATGAGCCATACAGCTGAAATCACAGGCAGACCTATGGTCAAAAACACAGGAGGGAATGGAAATAAGAGTTTTGACAGATAGACATGCACTTTGTTTTTTAAACCCAATACCTACATTTCCAAATCTGGGGCTTTGGTTATACAGTTCACCCTTGAACAATGTGGAGGTTACAAGCAATGACCTCCTCCACAGTTGAAAATCCACGTATAACTAAAATACGCTCTCCACACATATGGATCCCCAACCAAAAAGTTGAATCTAGTACAACACAAGTTTGAACTGTAGTCAGAACTGTGTGGGTCAACTGAACTGCGGCTAGTTGGAAAAAAATCCACATATAAGTGGACCCACGCAGTGCAAACTCATGTTTGTTCAAGGGTCAACTACATGTTTCTCACCTCCTTGGTCCTCCTCATGGCTTCCTTTCCCATATCCTGGGTGTCTACCAATAACCCTATAGGCACAATCTTGGCTCACCGCATCCCCATTTCCTATACACAAGTGTGAGAGCAGAGCTATCTCTAGAATGATGGAAGATAATAACTCCAAGCTATAATTTGGTCTCATCCACTTGCCAACAGCCAATTGCTGTATCTAGTCAATAGGGGTGCTCATGCTCACACTCACCTTGGATCCTGATTAACAGTTTTGGTCCTCTTTCTTAACGAAATTCAAAGTCAACAGCTATCTCCAGATTTCTATAAGAACCTATAAAGAAACAAATGTACAGATACACAAACAGGCAGAGAAAAGAGATTGAAATGGGCCAACATCCATGACAAGCATGATAACATGTTTTTTTATAGTCAAGGTCATGTTACAAATGTACAGATACACAAACAGGCAGAGAAAAGAGATTGAAATGGGCCAACATCCATGACAAGCATGATAACATGTTTTTTTATATTCAAGGTCATGTTAAATGTCTCCCACCTATCTGCCCATGTCAAATGATTCCCCATCCATTCCTGTAAGACCTGCAGCTTGTCTAATTATACCCCCCAACTCTGAAGTCAGTCATTTTCCAAGCAGGAGCCACACTTCTTTCCTTGAACAAAAATATGAGATGCAACAGTGGGTAGTGGAAAATGGGCAACTGTATTTAAAAAGTAGGCAGTAAAAATAATGGGAACTGTTATTTTAATAGAATTTTGCAAGCTGCTGCCCTTTCCCCTTTTCCATTGTATACATAGATCCTCCCTTATTCACCACCTATGGTGGCCAGCCCACACAGCAGATCTCAGATGCTCTACTTCCCACCAGAGATCAGTCCTTTAGCTGAAGAACAGTGACATCACACAGAAAAGGGGGGAGTACTCAGCAAAACACCAAGAAAATATGTTGACAATGATACAAAAACTTCAGGTTAATAGATAAGATACCCAGAGTTCAGGTCCTAATATCTCCTGTTCAAGAATCAGGAAATAAGCAAACAAACGTCTCTCCACTCCCATGGTTCCTCAGGTATCTGCTCTTGTAAACTCTACAAATTTTTTAAAAATTTTTAATTGTTCTTCAAGTACAGTTTCCTGCCTTTTACTCCCATCCCAGCCGCCCCCCCCCCAAATCTTTTGTGAGACTGTCACTACACCAAAATGAGAGGGGCTCTGAGGGGTAGTGGGAGACAGAGTTTAGGTTTCCTGAATTAGAAATTAAATAACCAGACTGATTTCATGATTCCAAAACAGACTCTACAGAAACTGTGCCCTCTATTCTGAACTGCCATTACCTCAACTTATTTAAGTGGGCTGGGATGTTGAGAAATCAGATCTTGAATGAGAAAGACTGATTAATAGCACAGTGTTTATTTACATGGAATCCTCACCGTGTCATTTGCTTGCATTTAATTGGGTGCAAGACATAAACATAGAAAATAAAACTGCTGTATAAAGAAGCAGGTAAACATTTCATTTTGGTGTCTTCTTAATCTCCATATCCAGTCTCCCTTGCGTTGAAATCAAAAAAGGTAGGAAGATAAAATAAGTCAGGAGGTCAAGGGAATTGCCTAGAAGCTGGTACACAGGGAAATTTTAAGATTCCTGGATGCTTGACATGTTATGGTCTCAGTCACCCCCCTATTGGGGTCTCCAGTCAATGGTTGCTGCCCACCAACCCCCAACCCCACACACCTCCAGAAATCCACGCTATTTTCTTGCTCAACTTTTTCTCAAGCCGCTCCTCTTACAGATGCATCCTGCCGCCTGAAATCGCCAGACCTACTGCGCAGACAGGAGATTTGGGCATCAACGAGGTGCCTGTTGAAAGAGAGCACCCAGGACGCGGGGCCCAACAGGCCAAGCGCCCTTTCCAGAAATCTGAGGCCAGAGTAGCCCAACACCCCCTCCCCGGCATGCCCCTCCAGCCCAGCTCCCGCTCCGCCATTTCTCCCGCAGCAGCCTCCCTCCCCCACAGCCCTCTCCCAGTACAGACACCATCGAAGGCAGGATGCGGGCGCCGGGAAAGATGGCTGGGGAGCAGCCTGCGTGATTCGCTTCCACAGGACCACTGGGAGTCTCTCTGGCCACACCAGCGCCCTGGACCCGGCCCCCGCCAGTCGCCGCCGCCTCCTCGCCAGGCTCCCCCAGCGCTGCGCACCTCTCTAACAAACCAGCTCCGACCGGCCGGGTCGCCTCCTCCTTGCCAGGCTGCCACAGCCTGGGCGAGGGCTATAAGCTGGTGCGGGGTGGGGCACCACCCTCGGCCCCCACCATACCCCCACTTGCCTTTACAGGCTCACGGCCGGGTGGTCATCTCCCCTCCTCTAGGAGCTCCTCAGTTAGCTTTCCACCTCTCTCCGTGCGCTCCGAACTGCAAAGAGGCGTCCCACCTCACCACCAACCTCTCCCGCGGACCGCTGCACCAAAAACGGGAAAGGATTGCGCAGAATGCGACACAAACTGCTGGCAGCGAGGGTGTCGGGAAGAGGGGCGGAGGGATATGGCACGAATGGGCTGACGCCCCCTCGCAGCCCACTGTAGTTCCGACCGGGAGAAGGCGGGGCCGGGACCCAGGCCGGGGGCGGCAGGAACCGCAGCCTGCCTTTGAGGACCTACGAACCCCTCTACTAGGCGACCACCCTCACATTCCCGGCACTACAGTCTATGGGACCGGCGGGCCGGGGCCGGGATGCCGGATGCGGGATGCGGGATCGGGAGGTCAGAAGCAGCTGCGCTGGAAGCAGCAGCGGATGGATACAAACTCTCTCTTGGTGCCTGTGAATCGCCAGACTTCTCCCTCTGCCTACCTCCCCCTCCCCCATCCCACCAGCCAACCCTTCCAGGACGCAGATGGGGGAGGGGATGTGAGGACTGCGGGCTGGGAGAGGAGAGGCGATCTGAAGCCAGACCACCCCAGACGTCGTTGGGATAACCCCCAAGGTTTTCTTCTATTGTTCACGAGTGAGGGAGGGGAGAAAGTCTGGAGGGGGCTTCCATGGAGACTTCACCATTTGGAGGGCAGACCTAGATCTCTAACTCTGGGAAACAGTCCACTGCTCTGCGCCCAGAGTCGTTCTTTCTGCCACAGTGCGTTTTCTCTCGTTCGAAGTGGTTACCCATGTTGCCATTTTGCAGTCCCCACAGTTGTCCAAGAGTTCCTTTCTCTGTCAGGACCCACACTGGTCCTGCAATCCTCCCTCTCTGTCGCCGCACAGCCAAATGTCAAACACCAGATAGGAGAGGTCCTGGCTTTTCCTCCTCTGTTCTGTCAAGTCTTCTCCTTCTCTGTTCTGTCAAGTCTTCTCCTGCAGTCACATCCAAGCTCTCATGATGTTTGGCAGTCTGGAAATGTGGCAGGGATTAGAACCAGCTTGGACCTCAGCACTTCCCATAGGCACCTGTCTAGTTTATCCATTAGAACTATTAACACATTAATCATATACATTTTAAATTCCCTGATAATTACATAATTTGCATGATATTTGAATCTATTCTCATTTTGCTTTGTATTTTCAAGCTGCTTTTTCTTGCTTTTTAGCATACCTTTTAATTTGTCATTGAAAACTGGATATAATGCATTGGGCAACAGGAATTCAGGTGAATAGACAATTAGCAAGAATTTGTATGTTAGGCTGGTTAGCTGCTGAGCTGTGTGTAATGTTTGCTGTAGCTGTAGGTACCAGAGTCTTCAAATTCCTTTATTGTCCTTTTTTCTCCTGTCCTACCTCTTATCTTTGGGCTTCCCTAAGTATTCCATGCAGAGAGTCTGCATGTTATAGCTCTTTTAGCTATATTCCACTCCTATTATACTGCAGGTTTGTGACATAAAAACGTGTGGAAAGCATGCTCTATAATCTTAATATTAAATTCCAGTCTTTGTGAGCCTGTGTCCCTAGGCTGTGTACTTCACAAATATTTCTCAGCTTCTTTCTCCACCTTATGTGAAAATGGAGGACTAGAGTGGGCTGGTTAGGAGCAATGCCTTTCCCTCAGCAGGCCTGATGCTCTGGGAAAGTTTTCCACTCCAGAGTAGGCCTTTCCCATGGAGAACGTTCTGGGTGTATTTTGTAGCATCCAGCAAACGCGAGAACAAATATCGGAGACTTTCAGGGTATCAAAGATGTTACTTTATTGGCCAAGTTTAAGCTGTGCAGGGGCGAACTCTCAAAGTGTCCAGCGACACAGTGTCCACAAGGAGCTGCAAACGAGAGCCGCCCCGAGCGCTTACAACTAAGTCCTTATATAGGGGCGGGCAAGCAAGCTTTATACAGAAGCAGACGTGGCAGTTAGCAATTCGCTTACAAAGACCGCGCAGGAATTTCAAATCAAGCATTCTTGTATAAGGCGGGAAGGCAGGATGTTTATTCATTAACCTAGTAATCTCCTGGCTCTAGCTAGCTAGGTTCCTATTTTCTCATGGTCTAAGTTTTTCCGTACTCCTTACATATTTCATATGAGCACACTGCTTCTCTCACTTCCAGAGCCATGAGGAGATCTTTCTGGGCTCTCCCTTGTAAGAACCTGCTAGAGTTCCTGAATTTAAAGCCCACTAAACCTCTAAGACTACAGGTTGGGTTTCTGGCTCTCATACTATTCCACACTCTGTCTCCAATAATTTTTCAAAATTACTGTTTAAGTCTTCTCTCTTGTATGTCTCTAGCTCTCTGTGCTCTATGTAAAGAGAGGCTGTGACTCTCTGGATTTGTCTTTTCTCAAGAATTTGGGGTGGGCATTTGCCCTGTGACCTCAGTTTTCTGATACATCTAAGGTAAGTCATTGATTCTCAGTTTTGTTCGGCTTTTTTTCTGCTTGTAAGTGCAGGAGCAATGGCTTCCAAGCTCTTTACATGTCAACTGACTCTGGAAGTCTGGACTATGGATTTTAACTGGGTAGCTGAAGTCCAGTGAATAGCTTATATCCTTTTCTTTTCAGCTGAACTTCAGGTATGGAAATAAAGTTGCTCTTTCAAACCTAGCCTCTCCATAAATATTAGTTCTTTTCTCTCCCAGATATCAGAAATTTACATGGCTCCCTAAACTTGTCATTACAGTCTTCAAAGTCTTAATCTGGAGTGCAGATTAGAATTTAGACTTCCTGAATCAAAGTTCCTGGTCACGAGGTCTGAGCAACAGTAATTTAACCTTAGGAGCAGAAAGTCTCTCACTACCACCACCACCACCACCACCACCAAGAGTCAGTGTACTATAGTACTAGGTGCTTGCTTAGACTAGAGTAACCGGTTTCTGAGCCCTGGAAACTCTAAAAGGAGGCTGTATGGTGGTGGAGTTGGGATTTTTTCCTCTGGACTCTACTCTGGGACTTGACTAGACTTCAGAGCCAAGCAATTCTCTATTCAAACTTTGGACTCAAGTCCAAAAATTTGAGTCCAAAGTTTGAATAGAGACTTTGCCACTAGCTATTTGTCACTTTGGAAAAGATACCTCATGTTTCTGTAACTCAGTTAATTCATCCTTCAATGGGGGCTGGTAATAACTACCTCACAGGATTCCTGTGCACACTAAATGAGAAACTTTATAATATTCTGAAATACCTCATGTATCAAGTCTTTCTACTTCCTTTTAAAATATGTGATCTAGTCACATTATAGGGTAGACTGGGCTAATTAGGAAAGAGTAGATAAGAACTCCATGGTGGCTTATAGTGGTCTTAATTGCTAAGACATTGCCCTGTGCTCTGTGTTAATATAATCTCAGTGTTTCATAATATTCTGTTTTGCCTACCATAACTAACCCCTCACTAAAAGAACATCATTTTTTCATAAGTATGCCTCCGTCTTCCTTGTGGTCATGTACCACAGGAAGGCTGGTCTCAGCTTCAGGAGTAATCCATCCCCTTGGTACTCTGGATCAGGAAGTGTCGATGATCTAACTCTGCTCAATGAAATATTAGGAGAAGGCTGCAGAAAAACTAAGGAAAGTGTCCTCCCTTATGCCATCAGGAATAACTGTCTCCTTTTCTTTTTCAGGAAATTGCTCGACTCCTAGAATCATTGCAGCCATAAAGCATCCAGCCTTAGGATGAAAGCTGATATTGTGACTGGCAGGAGATGTTAAAAAACTGAGTTCCTGGCAGGATCAAACGGCCATCAAGGCCTCAGTACTTCCAATCTGTGGATCATAAATGTCCTTATTTAGTTTTAGTTGAGTTACTTGTTATATGAAAATGGAACAATCTTAACTGATATGTAGGCTCAGGCACAGAACAACTCTTCAGTGAGTAATAGTTTCTGACTTTTGTCTGTCACTGAGCATCTGCCCCTTCAAACCAGTGGCAGAACTTAGGTTTCCATGTGAAGAGGAAAACTGTAGATTCTGAATGCCTTGCCTAATGATTGCAAGAGGTTTGACAACTGTGATTGCCTTCTGTTCTAGATTTAAAGGGAAAGCCTCAAGAAGAAAACCTAAACCCTTACTTTCCTAGGGGGTTCAGAGGTACATGAAATACTTGAGCTTACAGATAAGCCTGGTTTCAATTTAGAGTTACTGTATAAAAGTGCACCCTTATAAAATGTCCATTATGTATTCAATTTAGAGGACTATACTGAGTTTGAGAAAGATAAATTCATGGTGCCAACAGTCAGAAAGATGTTAAGTTTCCTCAGGCACACTGCACTATGCAACACAAGTATAAAAACAGGTGGATATTTGGGATTGATCAAGAGCTGGGATTTTGCTAGGACAGTGGATCCAGGCACTAAATGATGAGGTAGAAGAGTCATAAAAATGATGAACCATGATTAACCATTAAGTTGGAAAGGAAGGAAGGGATGAAAGAACAGAAGATCGAACAAAACACAGGTTTAAGTGTCCTTATGATGAACAGAGTACTTTAGTACAAGCTGTAAGTTACAGAAAATCTGAGGTTGAAGATATGCAGGATGACGGCAGCTTTTAGTGACAATTAGCACTAGAGTGATATAGACATAGCATAGTGGTAATGCACACCAGCTCCAGATTCAACCTAAAAAGCTTTGGATCTCAGCTCTTCTGTTAACCAGCTCAGTGAGCTTGGCCAAGTTACTGACCAGTCTGTGTCTCAGCGTCCTCATATGTAAAATGGAGACAACAACAGCATCTATTCTATATGTTTGTTTGGAGGATTAAATACATTAATACATTTAGAGCCCTTAGAAGAGTATCTGGTACATATCAAACACCCAACATATCTTAATAATAATTACTATTATAAGTACTAAAAGGCTCTCAGGTTTTTCAGTCAGACAGATGGGTTTGATTCATATTTCCA